TCCATCCCTCCATCCCTCCATCCCTGCATCCCTGCATCCCTCCATCCCTCCATCTCTCCATCCCATCCATCCATCCATCCCATTGGTACTGACAAGGATCAATCGCTCCAATTCTATCTTTTCTTTTTTTAACCAGACGCAACTGAGGAAAGCTAATAATACAGTCCGCGCACTCACCTACGAACAACTCAGTGCTGAATTTGGATCATTCCTTGATAATTATAAAAGTGCTCTTCTTGGTTTCACTCCACTCTTCGTATCCACCCTTACGTTAGCAGCAATACCTGCATACAATGCCTACAAAAAGGCTAGTCTTAATAAGGTAGGATTGCATTATGTCGTTTTGATTACCAAACTTATTTCGTCGCTGCTATAACACCGAAATGAATAAGAATAAATTCAAACTAAACCTTTTGATTTTACGTCGTTGTGCATACGGGGAGTCATTGCCGGGTCTTCCTAGCCAGTACACCACGACCCCCTACATTCCCTACCACTAGTTTAATATTCTATGCAGACAACTCTTAATTCAAATTTTGATTTTTATGGAGGGAGAAAAACCAGAGAACCTAGAGAAAACCCCTCGTGGCAAGGGAGAGAACAACACATCAAACAAACTCAACTCACGTTGATTTTTGCGGAGGGAGGAAAACCAGAGAACCTGGAGAAAAAACCTCGTGGCAAGGGAGAGAATAACACAACAAACAAACTCTAGAGTTTTAGAATCATTAAGACTGATTCCATGTTCTTTGTGTTCAACGAAACCCTTTCCATGTGGGAATGACCTATCGCCTTTGGCGATCGATGAAAACGTTTATTGAAATAGGTGTACGTACGATCCGTGGGAGGGAGAGAAGGGAATAATACTTAATTTCTCTTTTCAAAAACCTTTTCCAGGAAATTGCAAGACTTTCAACCGGACAAGACTATAAACAACTGGTCACGGCACGACATGGAAAAGCATCAAAAGTTCTGGGAGTGCAAAACCTGAATCAGCATATCAAGGCAACGGCGACATCGAGAAACAATGCCCGATTTGCAACAGGAAAATACACTCAGTACGCTTTGAATGGAATCACAGGGGTATCCGTTTTGATATCATTGGGTGAGTACAGTAGCAAAGGGGGGAGGGGGGAGGGGGGCTGACTTATAGATAAGCCCAGAGGTTATTTCAGGGTTTGATCTGTGAGTTAGCTATTCCCTGACTTAGATCAGCCCAGAGATTGTTTCAGGGTTCCATCTGTGAGTTAGCCATGCCCTGACTTAGATCAGCCCAGAGATTGTTTCAGGGTTC